GAGCTTTAGCGTCGTGGCTGCATCCTGTGCTCCAGGCCCTGGCTCTAATGCTGCTCCCTAAAATGTGATTATTGGGAAATTTTCACGTCAGTTCTTGCTGACGTCTTGCGAACATTGTCAGATGTGAGTCAGAGGCAAAAGTGACCTTGGTGACAAAGGAGAGTCATGGAGGATGCGCCCTCCTCCATCCACATGCTCAGTGAGCAGCAGGAAGGCATGGTTCCTTACTCCTACTGATACGAGAGGGCTCAAAGTGCCCTTCAAGAACCATTTTTAAGAGGAAAAGGAGGCTCCTTCCATAACCTGTTTGGGCACCTAAGCTCTGTCAGCGACTGCCAGACTCAACTTTATAAACTCCTCAGAAATTACACCTGCAAAAAAAAAAAAAAAAGAGATGCCCGTGCCTACAGACCTAGGCAGGATTTGTGATCATGAAAGCACGCTTTCCTCACCTCCGCATCTGCTGACACAAACATCTCCAGAGTTTTCTTTTGGAATTTTCTTTTGTTATTCTGGCACTTGGCATCATCGAATGCCACAGCTAAGGACAGAGTTAATTTTGGGGTAAAAGATACGCATCTGCCTAGTTTTGTGCTGCACTAAACCAACAGCTGAAGCTCGGCAGCTGTAATATCATGGAAGGACAGGGTTGGTTCTTGCCCGTGTGCGTTGTACACAACGCCCGGGAGGCAGGTAGCAGGAGCGGCGCAGTCACTGACCTGGCGAGCACCCGCTGCTGGTCTGCAGGCAGTGAAATCCCCTCGGCAGCGACAGCCACCTCTGCTCCAGCGCTCCCCCTGCTCACGCCACCAGCGTCTTGGACAGTCCCAGGCACTGCTGGGACCTGAGGACAAGAGAAAACGAAAAATTGCAGCTCTGAAAAGATGCGGTGTGAGTACCGGGATAGATGAAGCACGACGCTACCCCCTCAGGTTTATTCAGCCTGGGGAGGGACGAAGTAGCTTGGAGGGTACCTGGGCTGACGTTGGTTCTTCATCTGCTGCAGCAACAGCGTCTTCGTGCAGAGGTGTCTCGTCAGGAGTAGTTTCAGTCCTCAAGGCAGCTGGAGAGTGAAAGAGGAAATATCCACAGTGTCAGGAACAGGCTCTGCAAAACCAGGGCATAAATCTGTGAAAACATCACACGGTGTCTTCACCAAAAGCTAAAAAATGGTGTATCTGGAAGGAAAAGGTCTGTTATTGACGCTGGTCAGTAAAAGCCATCAAAGAGCCAGAGGGAGTCTCGGGTAAGGAGTGCAGCTGAAAGAGGGGAGACTGAGATGAGATATTAGGGAGAAATTCTTGACTCTGAGGGTGGTGAGGCAGTGGCCCAGGTTGCCCAGAGCAGCTGTGGATGCCCCATCCCTGGAAGGGTTCAAGGCCAGGCTAGATGAGCCTTTGGGCAACCTGGGCTAGTGGGAGGTGTCCCTGCCCATGGCAGGGGGTGGCACTGGATGGGCTTTAAGGTCCCTTCCCACCCAAACCATCCTGGGATTCTATGATTCTATGATTTTACAGGGCTGGGAGAGCCTGGGTCCTCCTGTTCACACACAAATAATCCATTTCAGAGATTAGGGGGTGCACACTGGTAATCAGAGTCAGGGGCGGGGGAAGAACCTCTCACTTTAGAAAGTGATAGAATCAAAAATGAAGAATACAGGTTCAAGAATTAACATTAGGCTATAAGTGCTGTACAAGCACATTATAAAACATGCTCTGAGGCACTGCGGAACTCTAAATGAAAAGCAGTAATGAAGAGGATAGCTGGCAACGATTTATAGGGACGTGAGAGGAATATCCACCCTCCAGCAAAGCGATGGTGTTGATAATCCACTGGGAGACCGAGGGCTGCATCCTATTTGCATGCGATGGAAGAGACTGCCGCAGCCACCCTCGTCTCGGGCGGGCAAGTTGCGCAAAGCCAATCGGATCAAGACAGAGCAGCGCCTGCCGAGACCAGTCATCTCTGCAGCTCAAACCTCTGCTCGAGAGAAACACTGCACTAAGTCAGAAAAAACTCACAGCTGTGCTGGTAAAAATCACGTTTTGTCCCCTCAAGGGCTTACAGGGTAGGGCTGGGCTGGTCCTGACAGAGAGAAGTCAGGAAAATAGGGAAGAGGACAAAGCTGGGCCAGAGTTTCACGAATGGCCCAGAAAAGCCAGAGTTACCACTCCTGCTGTCGATCAGGGAGGGCTGAGAGCAGGGACTGCTGTTGCTGCCAGGCAGCACTTGCTGCAGTAGCAGTCACTGCCACTTTAAAGGTTGCTGTCGCAAAAACTGACTTTGCAAAAACAGTCTGTTTGCTCATGCCTAAATCCAACCCCCAGCATTTTAACAGCACCAGGGAACTTTCAGCCTGCACTGCACACCCTCCCCCTGCCTCGTTCGCACCTGCTTCCTTCCAGAGGTTCTCCTCGAGCGCAGACAGCTTGAGGTTGTAGTGATTCTTCAGGCTCCAGATGTCCTCTTCGAGGCGGGCACGGGACGCCTGCTCTGCTTTGTAGCTGGCCATTAGCTGGGCCAGCCTCTCTTCGTACTCCTGAAAGGCACAGCAGACAGCCTGATGTGACCGCCCCGCTCCTGACTGCGCACAAGGTCACATTCTAGGTCACACCTTATGTCCACCCCAATAAAATTTTACCATCCTGTATTCCTTGACTTTTTCTGTGATTTATGTCAACACAGTATTGATGAAAGGTGACTAGTTCGCCCTAGAAACCTCTGTCTTGGGCCGATGTGGTGTCCTGGAAGGAGCTTTGTAAAGAGCAAGGAGAAAGTTTTATTTCCTCTGGCCCCTCTCTCTCTTTGTCTCCGCTGCCAACTCCTCATTTTTCCTCCTGTCTCCATATCCCTTCTTTATCTTCATCCGTGTCCTGTTCCTAACATCTCTGACCACTGCTTTCCTCCCTGCTATTTCTCCCTCCCCTGACAGGAGGAATCTAAGTTTTACAAATAGTTTCCTTCCATTGCTATATGTACTTCAAAAATTATTCTTGGGAATCCATCCCAATTCATCTCCAGAGTGGTGGGAACAACGCTGCGAGAAAGCGGCATTGTCAGTAAGGCCTCCATCAACACACGTTCTGCCCAGAGGAGAAGCTCAGGGACCAAAAATTAGGAAGAGAAGTGTACTGAAAAGGCTGAACCACACAGCCTTACACCGTATTTGTAATAATTATTATAAAAACCCACAAGTCTTAGTCAAAGACATCATGGGATACCCTCTCCTGACTTACTTCCCTGATTAGCTGCTTCTCTGCTTCCACGTCTGTCTGGGCTTTGAGGAGGGGAGCTGGCTTTGCTTCCAGGTGAGCAGTCTCAGCAGGCAGAAGCCCTACAAAGCAAAGCAGAAATAAAAAAAAAAAATCACTCCAAATTACTGGGTGGGATTGTCTGGAGAATGCCTGGAAACAGAACAAAGAACCTGGCTGCCAGCAAAGACCACGGCAATCCACGCACTCCTTTAAACGGCGCTCATGTGCCAGCGCCTGTGCTGCCAAAACGCCTGCTGGGCTGGGACTGCAGAGGTGTGGGGAGAGAAGGAGCCAGCGCTGAGCAGAGGGGGAGAGGTTTAAGCTTCAGGTGTATGAAAGCGAATATAAATCTAATCTCTTTCACAGAACGACGGGAGACTTGTTTCCAGGGCTGCGCTAACAGATTTGGAAGATGAAAGACACTGGGAAGGAGATGAAAGGTGCAAGGAAATTGCTTGCTTTCTTCACCACTGTTTCAGAAAGTTGGCAGAAATGGGGAAAAAAAAAAATCTTACAGCCTTCTTCTGCTTCTCAAAGTTGCCCTTTTTTGGGGCATAATTCTCAAAAGGTGATCGGCCCCCTAAAGCCTGATCTTACCCATCGGTTCCCACATTTGCTGCTCCTACTTCACAGCAAAGAGCGAGTCTGCTGGGGCTGGGCTCAGTCCTCAAAGAGAGGACAGTGCTGCTCTCCGTAAGCAGTGCCATCTGCAGGGCAAAACTTTTCTTGTAGCGTCCAAAATTCAGTGTAGGAGAACAGGGTGGAATGCCAGATTTGAAAACATACATCTAAAGAATTTTACATTATTATTTCTTTAGCAGCTCATTTTTGCTCTGCCAGCCAAAACCTCTCTTCTGTGACTGACCAAATTCTAGCCAGAATGATGAAGAACCACCAAGGATTTGAATCACATCGGCATTTTCTAACAGAATTTGTCATTATTGAAAACACCGGAGAATTGAGATCGTCTTTACCAGTGAAATAAAGTCAATTTGGCAACAGTGAAGGAAAAGCCCATTGCCAGAATGGAGAACTCTGCCTCCAACAGGTAAGGGACAGGTTGAGGTGAAATCCAGTGAGCATTTAACGTGTAAAACCCACATTTTTCTGTCAAAGATAAAACCTCCCTGCAGCCCCTAAGGGCTCTCCTACCTGACAAGTTATTGGCGCCCATCTGTTTGGCTAGAATGGCCTTCAGCTTCTTAATCTCCTCCTGGTACTCCCTCAGCAGAGCATCCTTGGGGTCCTCGTTGATACAGGGCTTGTTCTTGATGTTTTTCGCTCGATTAGCATAGCGCAAAGTACTGAGGCTTTCCTCATAGTTGTTATCAGCTGGCGATAAGCACGCGACCATCAGCGTCTTGGTATTTCCTCCGAGCGAGTCCTGCAGCAGCCTGGTCAGCTTTGAGTCTCGGTAGGGGATGTGTTTACACCTGCCATCGACCAGGGCTGAGATGACGTTGCCCAGAGCTGAGAGGGAGAGGTTGATTTTGGTGGCCTCTTTGAGCCGCTCCCCAGTGGCTCCAGTTTTTGACTGTCTCTCGCTTCCTGCCAGATCCACTAAATTGAGTTTCGCGGCCCTGAGGTGGTCCTGCCCTCGCTCATCTGCAAGAAAATAATTCTGGATTAGGCTCTTCTTAAGAGGAAGCATCTTAACAGTCAAGAACCAGGACTCTGTTGGCATCACCTTCCAGTTCAAGCTCTGTGTCTGCATCTAGGCCTTGACTCCCTTCGGTAAATAAATATCTACTTAATCTTAGAACGAGATGTTTTAGTGCTCTCCTGAACGAGATTCTGCACAGTAAAAATTCCTGACTATTCGTACTCTCCCAGTGAGCTCTGGGAGACACACACACACAGACCCCCTCCACATATTTCCACAGTGTTTAGAATTTCACACAAAGCTCTCTGCAAGGTCAGACCCTGGATTTATACATTTTTTTTTCCTCCTCAGATTGTTTCATGAAGCTAATGTCAGACAATTGGAGAGAAAGAAGGGAGGAAGCATGAAATGAGGAGTCAAGGGGCAGCAACTGGAGCAGGGCTGGATGGAGAGCGGGGCAAAAGAGCAGGCTCCCGAATACCTACATGACGTGGGGAGGCTGCAGTAGACACTATGTTGGGAAACAGTTTTTCCATTAACTCCCAAACTACGGCTTTTCTCAAGACTAGAATCCAACCCTCATCAATGGACATAATCAAGAAGTTTCTTGCTGTGCTTCCAAAGACGAAGCGTGTCCTGTCAGATTCCATCAAGGTCCACCATCTGGCTCGAATGTTCAAGATCTCCCCTCTTGCCCAGATCTCTGGAAAGCTGCCGTGACTCAGCACATGGGCACGCTCAGCAGCATCTGTTCCTCCTTCACTCACGACATTCTCGATAAGAAAGTAAAAGGAAGGAACGCGGGCGAGAAACGGGAAAACTGCAAGAAAGCAGGACTGCACTCAGCCTGAACCACCTGGATGAGGAGAGGGATTTCAGTGAGTGCAGAGTCAGACCCGGGAGCTGGTGCCATTCTCCTCGTACTGCCCCAAGGCAAGAGAAGATGGGAGCTGAGGTTAAAGGCCAGCTGCCCAGCTACCTGGACACACACCTCACACATGTAATATCCACTTCCTGACCTGCGTTTTGGGGCCGGATTAACGGGATAGCACAAATTCCCTGTGACTGAGAGGGCATCGGTCGATTTCTGAGCCCCTCGGTTTCTCTGGCTACTTAATGTTCCCAGCCTCATGCAGAGCAATGGACCACACTCTTGGATGTCCATGTCCTGATCATCCGTCACAATTACACCCCAAGTTCAAGTTCAAGCTCAAGAGCTCTGAGCAAAAAGAACATCAAGGTTTTAACCAGGTCCACCCTTTTGCAGACAGAATTCTACAAAACCTAGCCTTGAATTTAGTCAGAGTTCAGATTCACAGCTGTGGACATTACCTAAACACGAGCAATGAATTATCTGATGCACGGGGGAAAGCTGAAAGTTCACAGGTAAACACACACACACACAAAATCTGAAATCTATTGCCCCAGCATATCTCCCCAGTTACAGCAACAGACTCTTAACTGGAACTTAACGTTTGCTGTGGAGCAAACTTGTTATTTCACTCCAGCTCTTTCTGGTGTGTCAAAGCATGGGAGAACTGGGAATAAAAAAACCCAGATGGAGCTTTGATAGAGCACCCTCTCGCTGTCTCTTCTGAGTGCTGGGCTGAGCGGACAGTCCCAACCAGCAGATTTTCTAACCCTTTGCCTCCTTCCCCCAGTTTATGTAAACACTGACAGGCAATTAAAAAGTTGTTTTGGTTCCTGGCAGTCCTTTTACCCCCAGAGGTGGGTTGTTTCAATTGAGGAGCTTAGTGGTTTCGTTTCCATGGTGTAACAAGGTCCCCAGACTCTTGCTAAAATCCCTGCAGCAGCCTGAAAGTCTCACCCATCTAATTCTCCCACAGCCCATCGGCCGGATCCGGTGGCAGCAGCACTGGCCAAATCGACGACGGCTTTCTCATTAACTGATCAATCCCTGAGCACAATGTAAAGGAATAAAACAGCTGCTACTCTAAATACAGTAAAAATACTGATGGTAACTTGTGCATTTCATACCTCTGTAGCCTGAGAGGTGGGTATTTGCCATAATTCCTGAATCTGTTACTTTAGAAAAGAGTAATTTTAGTCCACATAATCACAAAGAGATCCTTTAAAATATCAACTCCCTGTAAATTATAATTTACTACAGGGCTTAGCTGGAAAATGAGTTTGAGCTTCCCCACGCACATCTTCATGAAGCCTAAAGATGACAACAAAAATATAAACTTAATTAACTATTTCAACTAATTACTGTCCTCACAGAACCATCCAGTTACAGGGATTGTGCCAGAACCCTCAACTTTCTCCTCAAATATTCCAAGCTGTCTTCCATTAACTGCCAAAACTGCAAGTTTCCCCACCTGCGTTCTGTTCCCTGTAACAACTTTTCAAAGCTTGAAATCAGATAAATTGTTTCAGGCAAGATGAAGAGCCCTGCACCCATCTGGACCACAAAAGAGGAGTGTAAATACTTCTTTTTAGGATTCAAGTTGGGATTTTATGCACCCACACAATGCAAGGATTAGCATCCGCCAGCTGTGCTAACTGAGAAACTCCAAACATCTCCCACACGCCATTGTGGACAGAGGAAAACCAGGGACTGTCACCAACATCTGGAGCCACAGTTCAGGAAGAGATTGGGTAACTTTCCCTGCGGCTGAAACAGCTGAAGAAAACGAAGCCAAGCTGTTCACAGCCTCAGCCAGGGTCAAGGACTAGACAGAATACAGGAAACTAATTCCTTTCTTAGTTGCAGAAAAAACCCTTTTGAGGTCGGTGTTCAGACCCAGTGAGGCAGCTTTCTCAGCTAAAGAAACGCCAGTGGAAATGAGATGCTCGAGAAAGGAAAATTAGTCATTAAACCACTATTAAGGGACTCTTTTATTCCATCTTTAAACCCAGATTAGCTGTTTGCTTAAAAGATGTGCCCCGTGATTAGGCTCAGTGAAGGAATCGGTGGGTGAAATGATCTGATTTGCACCGTAAAGGAGGTCAGATGAGATCAGTTTCTCCAGGCTGTACAACGTATGAACTCCAAGGCACTGCACGGGCTGTGAGATTTACTACCCTTGGCTGGAAATAAAGGTTTAAGAAGATAAAGAAATGGAAGAAGAATGAAATATGTTTCCAGTTTGAGTGTAAGATATTTCTCTCCTAAGGGGGAATCGAGTTTAAAAAAAAGACTTTGAATACTCAGACATTTCGCACTGCGCAGAATGTCCATGTCAGGGCACAATTCTGATCTCTACAGGCCCTAAAATCATTTAGGATCTATGTTTAGCTGTGGGGTGACTGGCCAGACCGCACAGATTCTGCGCTCTGCTAGGCCCGGGCCTAACGCAGGACATCCAGCTACCTACCGACGGTGCTGATTTCCATATTGACAGTAAAGATGGAGTGGGAGCGGGAAGAATCCTTGTTCATGAGGGTGTAACCCACAGCTCGGTTCTTCCAGCCCGTCTCCATGATCCGCTCGCACTGGCCCACGCTGTGCACGGTGTGCAGGGAGAGCCCCTTCACGTACACCCCCTTCTCCGGGTGCTCTTTCAGCTGCAAAACAGGGACAGCGCGCGGCGGGTTAGAACAAGACGCACCAAGACTGCGGGAAGGCGCCGCTGGAAGCTGCCCAGAAGCTTGAGGGCTACAGGAGCTTTTCATGCGGAGACATTAAACCGCAGTATGGCAAAAACGTAGCTGCCTGCCGCAAAAAAGCCTTAGTGTTTCTGAAGGAGGAATGAAACCACACAAAAAGAGGGAACCACCTTCGTGTCTCTGCAGATAAAAAGAATTAAAGTTCCAAGTTTGCGGATTGATTTCGACATCTCCTAGGTCACCTGCAGGCTACAGGAGCTTTTCATGCGGAGACATTAAACCGCAGTATGGCAAAAACGTAGCTGCCTGCCGCAAAAAAGCCTTAGTGTTTCTGAAGGAGGAATGAAACCACACAAAAAGAGGGAACCACCTTCGTGTCTCTGCAGATAAAAAGAATTAAAGTTCCAAGTTTGCGGATTGATTTCGACATCTCCTAGGTCACCTGCACTGAGCCGCACCACACAAAAAGAGGGAACCACCTTCGTGGCTCTGCAGATAAAAGAATTAAAGTTCCAAGTTTGCAGATTGATTTCGACATCTCCCAGGTCACCTGCGCTGAGCCGCCTTCTACCTTCCCTATTGTTAAGCTGCATATTTTAAAAAAGAGCTGAAAAGTTTTTTACCTATTATGGCCGAGGCTCTAGTATCTCTTCAGTCATAGGGAGCTTTTTTAAAACCAAAGCACAGATTCAATAGTCACAGATCTTGTTCCTGGGGCTTTACTGAACCCCTCCGCTCTGAGAGGGCGTCTGATCTCACTGACAAAATTCCCAAAGTCCCACCCGTCACGCACGGGTGGACTCTAATAATTTTTCTCCAGCTTAGTTCATTTTAAACCTGTTCTAAAACCCTATTCATGCACCTGGGTAAATACAGAGTGATAAACACCTAACGGTGTCTTTTCAGCAATTATCAATCATGTAGAAAAAACATTTCATACAGCACGCTAATAAACAATTGAAACATTCAAAATCTTGACTAATCCATCAAACCTCCATAAAAATACAAAACAACTGAGAGATCCCTGCACTCCTACACCAGCCCCCCTCCACACTGGGAATTTTAAACGAGCTGAATTCATTTTCAACGGTAATGTCCCACCCCACACCTGCTGAGTTCCTAACCAAAGCTCTATCTTTATTGTGGCAGCTGGCATATCAAGATACGGCTGTCATGACTCGGTGTCACGGAGTGACAGGCACTGCAGTTGGCAGCGTGACTTCCAAAGATCATTAGATGTTTTAATGATGTGCGTGTCACAAGAAGCAATATAAAACAGCATTTGCTGTAAAAAAAATCAGCACAGAACAGAGCAGAAGTGGGTGAAAACTAAACTAGGCAGGATTTTAACCTTGTTCTAAAGCCGTGACTGCCCAGGATGAATCCCATGGCAGGATCACAGCCACGCTGTTCACACTCAGTGATTTTTGCCTGTGCTCCGGGAGAACCCTGCGGCTGGCCCAGCTGCGTTTGAGGGTGCTGCAGGGTCCCCAAGGAACACCCGACCGAGGACATGGCTGTTGTTTAACTCCATGGCAGACTGATGGGGGTATTTTCCTTGCAGAGCACCATAAAGTCTGCTTGTCACGGGGTTTCATGCCACAGGAGGTGATTGTGGGCTTCAGAGTCACCAAAGTCACTGATGTTGAAAGGGAAAGGAACAACAAAAAAAGGTATTTTGGAGGAGAATTGGAGGACGCAGTGGGTCAGCCCGGGGTTTCAGTCTCTGCAGGACGTGCCTTCCTTAATTAATTACTCGGTGGAGGCAGGGCTGTCTCCGGTGTGATGGTGTGACGGTGTTACCCTGGAAACTGTTCTGCCCAACTCCTGCCCTCTCAGTGCCAACTGCAGTTGTCACGGAAACCAGTGTAGCTGCTGATGTGGAACAAAGGATGGGAAACCGCCTTCCGAAACTGCCAGTCCCCTTCTCCCACCCTCCCTCTCGGCAGGCACAGGCAAAGCACACTTGGAAGAGGGTTTTGCCTCCCTGAAAGCCAGGAGCCTGTTAAAACCCATCTGCCCTGTATGGGGGTTTGGGTCTGTCACCATCCCTGCGCGTCCGTGCGGCAGATGGTGCTAGTGCCTCGCTTTTCTTCTCAAGGGCAGGCCTGCAGGGAAGTCAATTAGGACAGGAGATTTGCAGATCCCCCTCAGGAATACATGCAAAAAGATCTGCAAATCCAGAGGTAAATTTTATAAAAATCAGCCCCTTTGATGAGGATTTCAGGGAAGTTTACTCTCCTGTGTTCCTGGAAACTGCTCGCCTTCCTCATGCGTTCCCATGGGGAGTAATATCTGCTCTGTCCCCTCAAAAAAGTCTCAGCTTTTTTTGTTTTAGACAGATAATGAGCTCATCGACAGCTACACTGGATCAGATTAAACATTTGGGAGGCACAGAAACCTCCTGCTGTAGAGAAAGCCACGAGATGAAGAGGATTAGGAAGAAACTGCCCCACGAGTGCTTTGTTCCATCCTTGTCCTGTAATGATTTTCACACAGTTTCTGATAAGCTGCTGGCCGCTATCGAGCAGGACACGCGGGACTGGATTCTGTTCCTTCTGCCACAAAACTTTGACTAAAGTCCCTCAAAATCCCCTCTTGACTTCTATATTTGTCACCTTTCTTCATATTTTGGCATTCAGCTTCTGACAGAGCGTATTATTGCACTTCGGCAAGACATTAATTACAATCTCTGAATAATATCTGAGCAAATTAAAGCACTTCCTAATTAACACACATTAACTCTGCCTCACCTCCAACTTCTGCTTGGTATCAGCTCCTAGAAGGTCTCGTATGTCTTCATTGTAAATCTCCAGGTAGGAAGCTCTTACCAAGAACTTGGCATTTTCAGCACACTGCACAAAACAGGAACGATTTTCGGGTAAGGTTCTCAAAATAAAGGCAAGTAGGCAGCGCATGTAGATCCTCAGTGGCAGCTGGGTGCCTGCCTCCCTTCAGCACTTCATCAGTCTGTCTTGGCACTTCATCCCCAGGTGTAACCACTCAACACACTTGCTATAGGGACTTTCAATCCTTAAACATCTCAAGTGCAAGTCCATAAAGTCAGCAGAAATGAGGGTGCAGTTCACCTGACTCTACATGGGCCTCAGCTTTAGGACAAGAGGCAGCCTGTCCCCATTCTTGCTTCCGAGTGCGATCGGCACTCAGTCCTTGGGATATGACGCAAAAATCATCTTTCTCGATATTTACACCACCTTACAACAGGATCTCTTTCACATCCTACCTGTACGCTCTCAAAAATGTGTTCAAATGCCCTGGGTATGATGCCTTTCTGCGCAGACGGATCCACAATTCCCTGCATGGTGAATGACTTCCCGCTGCCAGTCTGGCCGTAAGCAAATATGGTGCCGTTGTAGCCTTCGGTGACCCCCTGGAAATGGAGGAAAAACCACATAAAATAGCTGTTATCTTCACACTTAGCATAACTGCAAATAGATTATCCACATTCTATCCCACCTTGTAAAAAATATTTTAAAGGAAGAGCTGGAAGTAAAACTCAAACAGCTGCTTGACCTTCATATGCCATCAGACTGTAATAATAATAAAAACTGCATTCTGCTGGCATATAAATCCATGGTTTTCTCTCAAAACAGAAAACTTGAAGAAACATAGGTGTTGAAAAGTGGAAAGGCAGTTAACAACACTTAGAAGACCTGAATATTTTTGCCATAGGGCAGAAAAATCTTTCAAAACCCAGAGAGACAACTAGAATGCTACTTGATTGTAGGGTGGCCAAAAGGATGGTCACTAGCTTAGAATAATTATCTCTGGGAAGGCTGGCTGAAAGAAGGCCTACACTTTCGCTTGTTCCTATTTCAGAGAAGCAGAGTAGGAATAAAAGATATTTGGATTTCTTAAGGTTGAAATAAAAAGAAAAAAACTATTAATCTAATAATCTACTGTTTCAGACCCTGCTTGTTCTCACAATCAGGAACTTCCATCTTAAAAATATCTCCAGTCATTTTATCCCTTTTTCTTCTTCTAACAAAATTGTGGGGTATTGGGGGGGTTGGGGGATTTTTGTTTTACTGGTTCCTTTCCCACACTATCTGTTTACCCTGCTGATGTGTTAACAGGCAACAAACATATCCCCTCTCCTTTTGCTATTCTAAAACAGGCTGAGGTTCCCTGTCTCCTCTAAGGTTTCTCACTTGGCAGTCAACATGTCCCTAAAGTCATCAGAAGTCTTGTTTGTCCCCCTTCCCCTCACATCACTTTCCACTGCTGTTTCTGTCCAGCTGCCATCTCTAGGGCCAGCTCAGGGGAGTTCATATTTCATGTAAACATCCGCCTAAAACAATTAACTGTAACTCTATCCTCAGCGCCCCGCTGGCTGCTGAAAAAGTTCTCTTTTCTTCCCAATTTCCCAGCCTACCGCCGGGACGCAGTTTACCCCTCCTCTGCCCCTCAGGGCCGCAGCCAAGCCTCTCGAAGCAGCCGACAGGACTGTCCCTGTCCATAAATCCATTCCCCTTCGGGATCACCCACCCACGTCAAACTCCTCAGCCCACATCCCGAGCTATACATT